TGTAGTTTAAGTTTTCTCATATTAAGCTCCCTGAAACCACCCTCATAACTCTGTTCAGAGAAACGCTCGGCAAATTTGGAGAGCAGATTTGAACTCAGCATCCAAAAACACGACTAGCAGTTTAGGTCTCATTTCAAATGGCCACTTCGACTTGGAATCCTTCCCTGAAAAATGCGAAATTCAACAGGGTGAAGGAATACAACGACATTTTCAACCGAGCAGCAGTGCCCCTTTCAGATCTTCTATCGCGCATTACGATGCGAAAAAAACTGTAGTAGCCGTTGGCACATCAACTACCAAATTACTGATAAAGCGCAATGACCTCACACCATTGCGAAGACGTATCGGAAAAGGCATTCCTACACGCCTCTAGCTCACTACAGCCGCTGAGAGGGATTATCACCAAGCGGAAAAAGTATTTTCAAATATCGAAGCAAGTGGAATGCTGAATGCTAAATTTGAGTTCGTTTTAGGCAAGCCCAGAGGCGATGGTGATCTGCAGAAAAGGCCAAAATTATGATAACACATATAATATTGCTGAAATGAATATTCTGCTGGTGGAACAAACCAAATTCGAAAAGTATTTATACAAACTTTTCATTACAAAGGTATTTGAGAAACAAAGTCTGTGATCTTCTGCTACCACTCAAGCCCGGAGAAATGAGGAAAAACGTCGGCGGTGGTACGCAAGAGGGACAAATCGAGTTGGGTCAAGCTGTTTTTGCTTTTTGAGACTATCCAGGTTCCCGTTCGGTATAGCGCATGCTTTTGTTTTTAGAACGAACATATTGACCACAAACGCAGGTATTTAGGTCGCAGCTGCTCGGTGGCCACTCATCGGTGTTATGAATTGAAAGAACTCCATCCTGCTGATCTCTAAAATAATTCGTTCTGCTGCTTTAAGGGTCATCTTGTGGAAACGTCAAGTTTAAATAGCCAGAGTACCCTTTTACCCACAGCAAGACCATTCGGATGGCTGATTACCTTCTGCTCCTTTAGGTACAAAGATTGACGAGTACCTTGGCAGTGTTACTGCTGCACAATCGAAGAGCGTAGGTGAGCATTGGCTGCATCACCTCCTTTTGTTTCGATTTTCCAGGAATCCTGTCGTTTTGCTCATTATGTACCTCTTTGGCCGAAGACAAATTTTCATCAGTAAACAGGAGTTGTGGCGATTTCTTCGTAAATCACATAGCACTGTTGTAAGCAATCCTACCTCTTCTCTTCAGCTCGCTTGCTCGGAAACTGTATACTTACGAGGTTAAAACCGTATAAGGTCTTTATATTGCAGATGATCTTCTGCGATTCTGCACAGAAAATTCCGTGAGATATTCATTTCTTGAACCATTTTCTCGCTCGCTTCCTCAACGTCTTTCCGGATGCAATTGTAGGATTCCTACCTCGACCTTTCCAGTCTGCGGTTGTTCCTAGCTCTTCTCGGCGTCTGATTTTCGATTATACCAGCTTCCGCATTACATTGCGTCGTCTGAACATGTTCTGTGCCCAAATTTCCTGCACTAACAAAGTGATGCTTGGTTCACAATGTAATGAAGTTCTAATTGATTTTAAAATCAGCAAAATGTCCAAAATAGTAAGGAGGGATCACATGTATCCTTCCTCATAGAATGCAAAATTGTCGATATTTGAAAACAAAAAAAAATTGTTAAACGCACCCGCACCAACTATCGTTATATTTTCACCCCCTTGCAGACCGGAGAGTGAGCGTGTTAGATTATCAGACTGCAGAAGTCCAAAAAGGAAAGAGAGTGATGTGAAGATCATTCAAGAATTTTGAGATAGCATCGAGTCAGATAAAAAATATTTGCCTTAGCATTCTCGGTATCGCTTTCCTTCATATTTTCTTGTCAGCCCCTGATACACAAGCTTTGTGCTGGCAGAAAAAGCTGTGCTGTGCAGACAGCAGTCATGTGACATTGCACTTAAAGTTGCAAGTGAACACCAGGTCATACTGAGTCTTGTCTTCAGATGATTGAACCAATTAGCACAGTACAGCCGGAGAGCGACTGTGTAGGAGTGCTGGGTGCAGGTATCAATTTTTTCGCGATTTGCCCAGTAATTTTAATTCCATGGATCCGACACCAGTGACAGCTCAGTTTTTCTGAACAGAATCGCCGCAGTACCACGCTCGAAACCTGTAACCACGGTTCAGCGTGCACACCACACTTCGTTTATGTATGACCAGTGTCCTTTTGTGCAGACGTGGCTTTCATTTAGGGTGTGGACGGCTGTGCCTGCAGTTTACTATTCTGTAATGGAAACGTGCATACATAAGAAGTTAAGGCATCGAAGCAAAAGTTTTCCCGACGTTCCTTGATTGCTTGGGACCACTTGGGTGGAAGTAACGTTCAAGCCCATTTGCAAGTTGATAAATACTTCGAGCTTTCTGGTATTCTGCCGTTGAACGCTTCCAACCGCTTCTGCACTATAGACGTTATAACTGCTTTTCGACCAGCGCTCTTAGATATTCATCCGTCTTCGATCACATGATATTCAGTCCGTGACTTCAAAAGGGTGTATTTTAGACCACTGTAGCCGAAACCTCAATCATATAAGTAGTTGAAAATTTTCGTTAATCTTAAAAGTAACAGAAAGCATCAACGAAAAACTAATTACGATCGTAAAAGAGGGCCGATAGTGGAGAAAGGCAAGACATTCAGGTTGTTTGAGAAATAGTCCCAGTTGTGCTCGCGATTGCATTGAATATTGGAATAATAGTGCACGGCTGATTTTAAGAAGTCGAGAATCCTCTTTCTTCCTATAGTAGCAATGCATTCCTTTAAAATGAATTCTGAAGAGCCCCCAAGGCTTATGTGCAGGGTGGTCGAAACCATACAGGGTACGCAAGTAGTTGATCATTCAGTTCCTGCACAGTTGTGCTGCATGCCTTCCTCCGATTT